ACCTTAAACGCTTGTTTCGAATGGTCTTAGACCTTGTCCATTACAACAATTCAGGAGCACACATGCGCACAAAATATAACATACCTGATGATACTACGTAATAAACGCTTTCTCAGAACTCCAAGGTTACGCCAGTCAGTTGCGAGAGCGAACATACCATTATCGGCAACACACCCACTCTGGCGCGATAAACGATGTATAATGATTCGGCCAAAATGAATCTCATATAACTCGGACACTACTGAATATACGTTACATAGTGACCGAGTTAGATGGGATACAAACACAGGATACAACATATAAATAAATATTAAGACAACATCACATACATTGCCCACAATCCAAATTACTTAATTTATTTGTGTTAAGGAACAAATACAACGAAAAAAACACCCAGACCAGAGACAATGTCGCAAATTTCAGGAATCGAAGCTGGGATGATGGCGAGCGACATCTTGAAACTGTCCGTCGTACCTACGAGCTACTCGATCATAGAGGTCATCGAAAATATATATAGTGAATTATTTGTCATCAAATTATATTACCATATTATAGTAAAGCTGTATACCAGTTTCAAATCAGTTAACCAACAGGAAGGGAGTAAAACTTCTAGATTTCCACTGACCCACCAGGTTTGACCCACCAAATCATAAAAAACAAAACCGTTTAATAAAAATTTTATTGCATTCAGGGACAGAACATGGAGCCAAGCCCTGTACTCTTAAAATTCATATTGGATATATCTAAGAATTCCATCGTCTGTCCTGCTGTTACTTACGTATTTTCAGTGTAGAGTAGGACAAAGTATGATGAAATTGACGATTATAGAAAATTAGTTTTATGCGAACAACCTAGCAACCCAACACTGGGTCTTAGGTTGTTTCTGTGAAAACGTTATGTACCTACCTATTTTTCTGTTCTCACTCAATAATTATAGAAACGTTCAACTTTGACAAAATATGTTATTGCCATAGGTTTTTGAATTTTGGCAAAATGTATATTTATTGTATAGGTTTTAGGGTATTAATTTGTTTGTTAAAATAAAATAAATAGAAAAAGGGACCATTTAGTAAACCTCTCCTTAATTGGCAGTGACAAAGATAATAATCAGAGAACACAGAAATCTGTATTCTGTGATAATAACACATTAAGAAACGGGAGTAGTTGCTTGAAAGTGGAAAATTAATCGATGCCAATAAGTACGTGTTGTCCAGCGTTTCATACCGAGTATCCATTGTATAAATCCATTGTAGTAGTGAATCCGAGATCCCACAGCTGAGATTGCGTGTCAATTTTATTTAAGTGTGTTGTAATCAGTGGCGGACTAGAGGGGGGACAATACGCCCCGGACCGACGGTCCTGGGGGGCCTCCAAATGGCTGCAAGTTCCCTTGATCAAATTATAAATTGGGCTTGGAGGCCCCCTAGACAAATAAGTACAGCCTGTAGCAGTAGTTTACATGTTTGGGGGCGTCCATAAATTACGTGAGATGTTTTTTCAAATTTTCTGACCCTCCCTCGCCCCCTGGTGAGATGTCGTGAGATTTTATTCAATCCCCTCCCCCATCCCCAAATCTCACGTGAGATTTTTCAAAATGTGGGTTTCTTATTGAAACACGTTGGATTTTTTTAATAAAAAGAAAAAAAAATTCGCTTCGTTCTTTTATTTACGACTAGTTAGAGACTAGTAATCAATATTGCTGAGAGCTACAAGTGTAATAAAGATTAAACAATAGAATACTTAATTCGTAACTACTGCGATTAAAAAAGGAATATCTACTCTAATTCAGTCCATGGAGAATCATGCACGGTCTCGAGAGAGACTATTGGAACCAGCATGTCCATATGATTTTCAATAAATTCATCTGCTCCTTCAACTTCGTTCTGATCCAGCCACTCTAAGCCGTTGGCACGCACAGTAACTCATTAGCTCGTTTTGTGACAATCCGTGCGGGTCATACTTTGCGCAACATACGCGCTTCCTTAGCTGGTGCAATGTGGGCTGCACGCCTGTGCTCTGCAGCTCTTGTGATAGATGCAAAGTAAATACCGCATGTACTACAGCATCTTTTTTCTAAATCATCATGTACACTTGGGCAATAGAGATCATAAGGCGTGCTAATGAAGGCATTCAGCGGTTGAATCGGTAGGCAGTGGCGTATTAGAAATGGAGCAAATGACTTTCCGTCATGCTCTTCAAAGTCCGGAATTGTCAACCTAAGTGATATGGTATGGAGGTGACAGAAAACGGTCGTGAAGAATCATATGTACAATAGATCATTTGAAGAATCGAGTAAAACATTTGCAAGAATAAACAAAGCAGGTTGGAACCTGTCCGTGTGTCGCTGCACTCAGCTCGTACGCTCTCATTCATCGAGTCACACGTTCAGCTGACAGTGGCGCGAAAACAAAGAACGGGCTACATTGTACCGTAAATTCAAATTAAATTGAGCTATTTGGTATAAAACGATTATAGTGGTTTGACAATCAGGAGTGATGTATAATGTCAAAGTACGAATGAAATTATTTTCTTTCCAACGAATTAGTGAATGATCTTAACCTTAGACTTGTCACTCTATGAGGGATTCCCCGCACCGAGCCTTATTTTAAAAATTGCGTGATATTTGCCGAGACCCCCCCTATCTCCAACGTGAGATTAGATGAGATTTGACTCGACTCCCTCCCCCCCTTAAACATCTCACATAATTTATGGACGCCCCCTTTTAAATTAAAATTACATTTACTGTCTTATTTTATAATGTACAGTTTCGTATTTTTTTACTTTCTAAAATTTAAAATACTACATCCATCCGCCAAAATCATAATAATATAATAAAATTAAATGTACGCGGGAGGTTTTTTGTAAACAGTTGGAAAAGGTAAAAGTTTCGAGTTGGAAAAACCACAACTTATTCCAACAGGGGCAGGCAATTCGGGCTTGTTGCCGCCCCGGGCCCCTAAATAGGTTTAGTCCGTCTCTGGTTGTAATAAGAAATTGTGAGACTATCAGATATCGCAGACCACTTAAACATCAACAATACAGCATACAGAAATATTGATACAATGATTTCCAAACAAACTCTGTTGCTATGCAGTAGTGATGCATGCATACTAAATTAAAAATAAATATTTATATTACCATGGGAGTTGCAGTTATCTAGCATACGTCATAGACTGTTTATAACACAGTTGCCAACGAAATTTTCAATGTTAACAAAAATGGTATGACCGAAAACACAGTAAAACATAATTTTAGATTTGTATAAAATTTACATGAATCTGGCGTATTCGTATTAATCAGTAAGCAATATGGTTAGATGAAATACCTATCTAATCAGTCAGTTATAATTTGGTTTCCGTATACCATTACGACTTTAAAACCCGATTCGAACTATCGTAAAACAGTTTCGAATGTTTGTTTAGACTACACAGATTTTTTTTGGCAAGAAAATTAGCGTGGGCGAAAAAATGGTAATTCACAAATCAGAATAGGGTGTCGTGGATTGCGACTAAGAATAATGCATACAAAACAATATCAATTTATTTTAGGCACAATAGCAAAGTGCTATTGTGCCTAGGGCTTGGAAAATTAGATGGATATATGTAACTTGGGTTATTCAATAATCTCCCATGGGAGATACAATTTAAACAACACACTTGTTTAGTAGGTACCAAACTACATCAAGAGCCGGTCCATATAGGCAAACTAGGCAACTGCCTAGGGCGCTCGTATTTGGAAGGCGGCATGACATGGCAAAGAAATTATGTTTGCTCTAATTATATGAACCTTAAAAATTCGGTTAAAAAATCAACATTTGTTCTTTGAACACCTCATAGTCAATGTCCATGTTCACGGTATTCGAAAATACAAAATTTTCAGACCAGCAGTAAACCTTTTGAATATATTTAGGTACCCCTAAAGAGTGGCTCCTAAGAGAGCATTGGCAAAATTGCACTGTTTAATCGATGTAACTACATTAGTCTTTTATTTTGTTGAGATTTTCATGGGCGTCGTGTTTTGCTTAGAGCGCCAAGTTCTATTTTGCCTAGGGCGCCTAATTTCATTGAGCCGACGCTGACTACACCTTTGTAGATATGAACACAACAAAATAATGACCTGCCTACCCAGTGGCATTTTTAGTCTTTACACGAGAAGCTTTCAATTTTCAAATGAACTAAATATTTTCAATTTCTTAGATGTAACATTAACATTACAACTGTGATCAACTAATCGAAGCATTACGATATGAACGGGGAAAACTTCAATTCAAGGTTATTTATTGGAAGCATAACTTTCACTTTCATTATTTGGAACATCTAAATGCTTTTTCAAAAATTTTCTACAGTTAACAAAATGCGTCACCGAAATGAATAAATAAAAAAATACCGTATCATAAATTATCTAAGATAACGGAGTTACCGCAACACCCAAGCCCGAGACAATATAGAAAAGTTCAATTTCAACATTGACCCAAACGCAGATCGAACTCGGGACCTCAAAGATGGAAAACAAGGTGTCTGTCAACCTTGAAACCAACGTGTGAGACACTCGACTATGGTGGACGTCAATGAATTGTGTGTAACATCACCAATTTGAAAATTCTAACTCTACTATCTTTTGCAACCGTGTCAATATGTGGGAAACCAATTTGAATTTAAATATACGACTGTATACTTTTGCCTGTGGGGCATCGAATAGCGGAATCATGGGAGACACTTTAAACAATTCATTTTTATCTGCACCTGCTGGCAAGGGCAGACTGACGGACGGACAGTTTTTCTCTTTATTAGGAAGCCACGTATTAACCCACGGGCGTTCACGTACGGCTGGCGTGTTCACTCAAACATACGTACCTACAATAACATATTTAGATAACGTTATGCCTTAAATGCAAAACTCGTCTTTATTATCATGCCAAAGTCACACGTAAACAAAATAACATTGTTCAACAAACAATAATAAGGGTATTCTTAAAATCTAATTATTGAAACAAATATTTACTGTTACATCGATATTTTTAATTTCATCGTAATTTTATGGAAGATCAATACATGGTGACAAATAATTACTGAAATTAACTGACTTTTTACACTTGAACTTTCAATGCTATAGGCACTCGATAAATAGATCTATACGTGAACATTTTAATATTTATACGCACAAATACAAAAAGGACAACTCATTTCGCAAATACACATCATGTCACACTAATGTTTATAATATCCAAAATGGCTTTAAAATGTTCACATTAGAATGTCCATATTATGTTGATGGGCAAGTTGAGAAGCTACTGGAATGAAAGTCTGCAGATATCAAAGCCGATATCGAATCACCTAATTTTAACGGGACACGATCACTCTAAATATATACAATGATAATAGTAACGAAGGGTACACATCAGAAAATTCTTATTACTCTTACTATTAAAAAATAATCATTATAAATTGAGACGACTAATCCTCCGCGTCGGCAGACGCTTAGATAAACGCGATATTGAAATGCTTCTGTAGCACTTGTTGAAACAATGTCCACATGGTGAGTGTCTACCATCATTTTCTTACTTAAGATAAACAATTAATCGAAACAAAGATAAAATATTTACGAATCTACTGTTAATCTGTTCATAAGTTACCCATGTCTTTCAAATGAAATTTTTAACAATTAACCCACGAATAACGGTTGTACATAACTCCGTAACATATGTTTCGTCAGAAAGTAAATCCTAATTTATTGATCAAAACCTATGTAAAACTTAGCAAACTATTTACAATACCTAACCCTAGACACCGAGCTGATGTAATACAGCAAATGACGCATTTATAAAAATGTATAACATAGAAGTGACTAGTTACTTGCAAGGATTAGATTTTATGCTCAAGTCCTTAGTCTCACTAACTGGTGCAAAGAATAATAATAATACTGAAAATGCGACAACTTCAGTGTGATAATAGATATTGAACTAAAACATATATATATATATATGTAGATTGATCATAAAGAAAACTAAATTACTAACTAAATATTTACAAAAAGGTCCATTCCCAAAACAAATATATATTTTATGGCACCAATAATTAATAACATGATAAATAAATATTAACTTAAAAAACATTTGACCTCACTTCACCACTAAGACATTGTTTCTGATCATTATTTTAGTGCTAGTTTTTAAGATTAGTTAGAATTAACCATTGGTAACAATAAAAATAATTATCATCTTACAGGCAGTAGTCCAATTAGACAATAATATATAATAAAAAAAACCAATTAAAAAACATTTATCTATTTAGTTTAAGTCAAATTATAAAATATACAAAATATTACCCAATTCAAACTTTTAAGTTAGTCAGTAAAACAGATTGAGGAAATTATAGAAGAACTGCAGGAATTGAAAAATAAATAATTTAAAAGACTTATTCTTTTGGTTAACTTCAAATAATTAATGTTTTAATATAATAAGTATCTATTTGATTAGAATATATCAATACCACTGGTATTATTAAAAAAAAAACTTTCAATACAAGGGTCTCACAGTCTGAATAACTGACTCGCTAAAAAGTTTATAATTCACTTTACAAAAATGAATTGATAATTATAATTTCTATGGACAACATTTAAAAAAGTAAGCAAATTTTTTGATATGGCATTCAATTCTACTCAAACACTGAAACGTCAACGCAAATAAATATGACAGACATTTTAAAAGATGCATGTTTTTAAGAAACGTTTATGTGCCGAGTTAAATAGCCTTCCCCAGGATATACCAAACTAATCACTATTACCACAGATGCACATGATGTTTCCCACAATGTAAAATGCACTACAAATTACTAGATATTTATTTGTACAGCCTGGATTCAAAATCCTACATCTAATAGCTAACAAACTTTATAGTAAACATTGCCAGTTACATTACTGAGTGCTCGTCAGTTGGATCTGAATATTTGCAATACCACATTCACGACATACGCTTATTGGTAACATCAGTCTCGGATAAGATATTGCCGTATTGGCATTATTAAATATCTACTACTAGGATATTTTTACATATTTCTGCCATATCTGAAAATGTACATGTCAATATAAAAAATTCTCTCATGGTTTAGTTTGTGCTGAATTTTAATATTGAATTGTAACTTTATTGTGACACAGTAATATCATTTCAGTTATGGTTGGAATACATAAGATTTTTGTTTTATTTATTGCTTTTAAAAAACTGATGCTAACAATAAGTTTTAAACTCCAGGGCTTGGTTGATGTGCAAGGTTTGCAGATATATACTTTATAATAAATAGAAATGTATAATAATCAGATTTCATAATAAAAAGTACATTAATACCTACAAATTAAGGAACTAAGAATTATTACATTTAAATTCAAATGAAACCTCACATCAGATCACAAACACGTATGTCAAATTGCACAAGTGAAAACAACTACATGTTTACATATACAATAAATTAATCTCTTCAAAATCTGATGCAATCGCAGTTTCATGAAATATATAAAATATCAACTGACACAATTATTTAACTATAAATTAATCCAATAACAAAATGTCAATCAATTAAAAACTACAAATAACAATCCATCAAGAAACGATTTAGGAAACTCTTTGTATAAACTAATAAATTAGTGATCAAAATATCTCAAATTGATGGTTTGGTGATGTAAGATAAATTCATAATTGAAATAGTTGATTGTGAAGTTATTAAAAAGAAATATAAAATTTGTACATGATATATATTACATTGCTATTTGATGAAAATAATCTAGTAATGTGACCTCACATATTCAAATACAGGTAAAAAAATAATGAAAATGAGAACTGGTTGTGATTGCTGTCCTACGTTTGGATAAACAGATGTAAATTACATATATCATGGAAATATCACCAGGACAAGAACACCTTCAAGTACCTCTTTATCTGCTTTTATATTACTCAATAGGGCACAAAGCAAATGAACGCCACCAAAACATCGGAAATCAATTTAACTACCGACTTGCTTACACTTTGAACTTATTTCATCTGCCATTCCAGCCGGGGAGCGCTTCAGCGTCTATTATCACCCTAAGCTGCCAGGAAACAGACCCACATTGCACGGTTCCATGACCACAATGTCACGGAAGATTCACTAATACAAAACACCTACTCACGGTAGTGTCCGCTCGCAGGCACCAGGTACATGCTCAGAACTCAGCGAACTCCTTTGCACACTTCTCAGTCGATGAGATACGTAATGCCTCCTCCTCATAGTCATCAAAGTTACTGGTGTCTCCTGGGCCCTTGCAACGCGGTATGAATGGTGCTTCGATCTTCTTTTGGAAGACCGCAATCCAGTCAGTGCTGGCGAACCACTTGTGACCTTTTATGTCATTGACACCCGCCTTCAAGTTACCGTAACGTTTAGTCAAGTCCACTTGCAACAAATTGCGGAGAAGATCCTTCAGATCTGAACCGAAATGTGAAGGGAAACGAACCTTCCCAGATACGATTTTCTCATATATTTGAATCGGTTGGTCCGCAAAGAACGGTGGATAACCAGCAGCCATTTCATACACCAGAACACCGAGTGCCCACCAGTCGACCGCTTTATTATAACCTTTTGAAAGAATAATTTCTGGAGCTAGGTATTCAGGTGTGCCGCATAGCGTCCACGTACGACCTTTGACTCGTTTGGCAAAACCAAAATCAGTTACTTTAAGGTAGCCCTGCGAGTCAATCAGCAAGTTCTCCGGCTTGAGATCTCGATAGATGAGGTCAAGGTAGTGTAGATATTCGAAGGCGAGAACAATCTGCGCCGCGTAAAAACGAGAATGGGGCTCAGAAAATCGACCCACTTTGCGTAGATGTGAGAACATCTCACCACCTGGAACGTACTCCAAAACCATGTATAAGTTTGAGTTGTCCTTGAAATGGAACTTGAGGCTCACCAAGAAGGGAAAATTGATAGCTTGTAAAATACGTTTCTCATTTAAAGTATGCTCGACTTGCTTTAATTTTACAACTTTTTGCTTATCTAATATTTTCATCGCGTAATATTCTTTCGTCGGTTTATGTTGGACTATCATGACTCGGCCGAATGATCCAGTACCGAGCGTTTTTATCCGTTCGAAGTCGTTCAGTCCGGCGGTGTTGGTAGGATTCTTCTTCCATTTCTCCTCGAAATCCTCCTTGGCCTGGTCGAGAAACTCTTTGACGCTTTCGGCGGCGTCCACCTTCTTGTTAGCGGTGGCAGCATTATTGCCCATGGCGCACACCACAAATTAGTCCCGAGACCCGATTTGCCGTTATTAGAGGCCGCCTTGCTGCACTAATCGATGCCTGCCTGGTACGACCGCGAAAGAAACTGAGCAGGTCAACACAAACCGATTTTAAACACGTACATTCTCGATTTTTAATGCACTTACACCTGTCACAATTGGTTTTGATTACAGGCACACATTGACACGAAAAGTAAAACAAAAAGTCCAAAAATAATTCGTCACATTCAGGAGAATAAAATGGCTTCCACAACCGGACTCGATCGACACCGAGAGAGCGAGATCGAACGAACGATTTCCTCACGCACGGGTGGCGGTCAATTGCAATGTTGCTAGATGAAAATAAAAGTAACTACATTTTAAAATTCTACCGTAACTTTTATTTTTATGCTATGAATCAAGTTTCATTCAGTTAATTTAAGGTTATATGAAACTAATTATTATATTTGATCAATTTTGCATTCACAATGTTATACTATAAAAATATTCTTAATGAAAAATACTCAAAAAATCCACTTTTTCCTTAATACATCTCATCTCAGTCTCAGAGTACCAGGGACAAAGTGGCATCTGTAAACATTTTCCATTAAGAATAATATATGAAGCTATTTTGTAACATTGTGAAATTAACAATATCTTTTAGACAGTGGTTCTTACTTAATGGGCCATGGAAGAATCCAAGTCTTGGAAGTTATTACTTAGTTTTAATTTATTACGTATTTTATTTATACAAATGTAAAATATTTAATAATACTTAATTTATCTAGACTCAGGTTCAGGGATCTCTTAAATATTAAGAACCACTGCTTTAAAACAAAGGCTCTTTCCGACAGCATTGATTTATTTTGTAATGCACGAAGCCATGAACATTTTCGTACAAAAGATCATACTAAAAAATAAAAATAGATTATCCCAGAAAAGAATACAGAAAATTATAATACTAATTTTTTATGATGCAAATGTAACAGAAACTAGTTTCGTGCTCATTTACATGATGATACCCGCCAACTCGAATCAAACTGCTCGTTTGATGTGAAAACTAGTGAAACTAGTGTCGTCCCTCGCTAAAGCATCTGCGCTCTATTTTTTTAAATTATATAATAAAAGACAACGTCTTTTATATTTTTTTATTTTATCATTTACACGAATTTGGTAATGATAACCTATTGTTAAAAAATAAATACTCTTTGTTTCCAGCAATAAATGAAAAATACCTATTATTAGATTTCAAAACTCTCAAATACATCGGGCCGAAATCCAAGCGTATAGACGAACCTCTAACAATATTGATTAATGCTCGGTCAGGATGATCGAAAAGCATTAAATGAGAATTTCACGGTTCTGAACATCGTAAACATAAAGCCTGTGTCCAGAAGTACTAATTTTCCAACTGGTATCATGATTTTAGTTTAATTTTTTGTGAAATTGTTTTTCATTAAATAATTACTAGTGATATTTATAATTATTCCTATATTAACTTTCTCTAAAAAAAGTTTCTGCGCTTTTTTTGATGTAATTCTTTTTCATTCTGATAACTTCATGCATCTCCAAAGAGTTCTCCAAAATATATAAAGAAGTTAATAAAATTCATCCCCCTATCAAAAAAAAAGAGAACAAGACTTAGTGTGACAAGGACAAGACTTAGCACACTTAGCGTGCGTCCTTAATTTTTTAGTTTTTTTAATCAATTCACAAACTAAAATAAAGACTTTGTAACACATCCGTTTAATAATCTTTGTCGTCCACTTTGTGGCGACGTAATCTGTGACATTTGTAATACATATAAACAAAAATACATTTGTAAGTCGTCATTCAACATTAAAACAGTGAAAGCAACCCTATACCTATAAACATGTTTATTCAATTTACCGACAGTTGGTATAAATAGTGATAGTCAGATATCACCCTATATACCAATAAATAAATACCCAACAGTAAAGTGGCGATCCCATACAATACACGCTACAACTGGAAAAAAAAAGAAAGTGAAATGAAAATTTCAAATTAATTTCATATCTAAGATATTAAAAGAAACAAAAAACTGTGATATTGAATTTTTTTTTAAACTCTATTTACTTTGTATTAAACTCTAAGCAAAAATAAAAAACTACTAGGACATTTTGTTTGTTTTGAGCTGCCAACACTGAAGATATTTCGTTTTGGTTCGGCATAACAGATGGCAGCACTCGCTGGTTACGTTGCGTTTGCGTACTACACAAAACTTGCGTCGAACGTCCATCCACTCCACTCCACATCACTTGCGTTGCGTTGCGCTACATACCACAAACACGCTACGGGTAGTGCAGCAGGCAAGTTACCAGACGGCTCATGGTTTGTAATGGATGACGAATATTTAGTGGCTATTTTTAGAACATGAACAGAAAAGTAGTTTCTTGGAATGGATTGACAGAAAAGTCTGACATAAAGGTAGATTACCAATCTTATATGAAAAACTTTCATATAGGATAAGTAATTACAATAAAAATCTTTGACTTCAATACATAGAATTTTGTATTTTTTTCTATTTCTCTATAAATGGATATGCTCGGTTAATTCATACAAATTATCGTTATTTTTAGACTTTTAGTCATATTTTTTATTAAACGGCTTCAAAAGAAGGAAATGTTCAATTCGCCTATTTATGTATACAAGTTTCATTAAAAAAACCATTGGGTTCCATCCACCAATGACACTCATTGGGTTCCACAATATCCTCGTCAGTAGTGAATGGATCCTAATAATCTACTTTCATTTTACAGGGTAAATTTTCGAAGGGAATAATCTACTTTCATTTTACATTATTATTTTTTAAATTTCCCTTAAAATAAAAATCGTATTAGTACAGTCAACTGCATGATTTTTTTGAAGTTCGGTTTTTAGACGTAGACTCTGTATTGAATACTTAGTCTCAACCTAGATAGGTACTTAGGTAACTTTACTACCTATATTATTTACCACCTCTTTATTAAAATTTATTAAAATTACCTATTTAAATTAACTAAAGTTGCTTGTATAGATAGACCTTGTTTGTATATAGCATTAAGTCAATGGAATTTATTCCGGAAAATAAACTCGATGATTTGAGATATGAATTTATTGGCTTACAATGTTGAAATTATTTTTGTTGTTTAACGTATGAAGGTTGATAGGTGAATGTGAAAATATATATGGAGATCATCAATGACGAAGCTTCGTTGCCTTCACTGAATGAGTAGGCGTTTTAGGCGTTTCCATACTCCCCCCCGTTGGAGACTTCAGTTCTTCAACCTCATGATTGATTCTCCTCGTTGAATAAAGGACAGAGTCGAACCAGTGGGCGGCGATAACATCCTGTGGTAGTTTTCACATCTGCGACGCGAGATATCCCATCAGCTCCTGGGTACAGTTTAGTAACTCGACCAGAGCGCCAACACAAAGGTGGAAGTGAATCATCACAGAGTAACACTAAATCTCCAACCTCTAGTCTGGTTGTGTCTTGCCTCCATTTGGTTCGGACCTGTAATTCCGCCAAATACTCCTTCTGCCATCTTTTCCAGAAGTGTTGTCGCAGTTTCTCAAGGTGATTGTAGCGGTTAAGGCGGCTTTCATTAACAGCTTCCAAAGCGGGTGACGGCAGCGAATTCAGTGGTCTTCCGATGAGAAAGTGCCCTGGGGAGAGGAAAAGGAGATCGTCAGGTGAAGGAGATAAAGGGCACAAGGGACGACTATTCATTATAGCCTCCACTTGTGCAAACAACGTAGTGATTTCCTCAAAAGTTAAATGAGCCGTTCCCATGACACGCCTCAAAATTCCTTTAGATATTTTGATTAAAGACTCCCAAATGCCACCGAAGTGAGGAGCATAGGATGGTGTAAATGTAAATTTTATGCCTTCACTAGCAGCAAACTCAGACAGTATTTCATTTTGTTGATTTTGAAAACAAAGTAATTCTTTTGCGGCTCCTACAAAATTGCGACCATTGTCGGAGAATATATTTGTTGGGCGTCCTCGACGTGAAATAAATCTACGCAATGATAGTAAAAATGATATTTTTGACAGATCAGTTACTGCCTCCAAATGAACGCATTTATACCTAAAACAAACGAATAGGCACAAATAACATTTTGATAATTTTGAACCGCGTCCTTTACGATTTGTAATATAAAATGGCCCCGCCATGTCTATGCCTACAGATACAAACGGAAAATCGGGGTTAACGCGATGCGATGGGAGATCACCCATTTTAGGAATTAAAGATTTTCCCTTTACCCGCTGACATCGTATGCATCTGCGAACAGTGCTTCGAGCGACATGTCTACCCTTTATAGGCCAAAAAGTTTGTCGAACAGTAGCTAATAGTAGCTGTGGGCCTGCATGTAAATTTCGAATGTGTTTGAAATTGAATATTAGTTTGCATAAATGGTTCCCTTCTGGGCATGATTACGGAACCACCAATGAGCCAACCAAATTTAGAATTTTGGAGATTTGGTTTATTTTTGCCTAACGATTTTTGTTCGCATACTAAAATATCCCAAAAGAGATCTGCACCTATCAGAAGATCGATCGGACCAGGCTGGTCAAAGTTGGGGTCCGCTAATTTCAAATTCGTAGGTATATTTAGTTCATTTAAACTTATTGGAGCCTTTGGAAGATCTCCTGTGAGCTCATGCATAACAAAGCAAGATAGATACTCTTTGTAATTACAATTTTTCGATTTTATTTCAACAACACAAGCTTCACTTACCTTATTAACGGTGTTGTTGCCGATTCCTATAACATTTGTTGAAGTGGGTTTAGATTTTAATGCTAATTTTTGCTGTAGTGATTTTGTAATAAAAGATGACTGACTACCTGAGTCCAATAAGGCGCGCACCGTGATATTCTTTTTTGTGATTGGATTTGTTAATTCAATCAAGGCAGTAGATAATATAATATGTTTCGAATTATTGTCCTGAGTGAAATTAACAATGGACTCGCAGTCCTGAATTTGCGCATTGTTGGCTTTAGTGGCTTCAACTGAATGCAGCAATGTATTGTGGCGCTTGTTACACTGCCTACAGGGACCCATGCGACATTCACTCACCGGGTGACCTTGACGTAAACAGTTATAACATAATTTGTATTTAGACACATCGGATAATTTATCTTCGAATGATTTTGATTTAAAAATAGGACAATCGTATATTTTATGGTTTTTATCGCAAATTATACACCGACATGT